CTATAGGCTCTAGCTGAGACAGGTTCTCATCCCACGGGGCACCCCCCTCACAAATGATGTTGTTTTTACTTTTACTACTGCAGGTCATCAAGATGCACTCCTTCCTGGATTATATCATGGGCGGCTGTCAGATCCAGTTCACTGTGAGAAACCACACACACACACACACACACACACACACACACACACGCACCTTGACAAAATTACTCAAACTTAGCAATAATAATAAAAAATGTCAACCCAAGACTTTTACCCGTAGCTAAAACCAATAGCTGGATAAAACTGTAACAGATGGTCGAGCCAGAATGAAGGAATTAGGAAAAATATAAAAAATATAAAAAGTTGAAATCAAAACATAATCGTAACCACATACAGTAAAGCTAAATGTTAACATAAAACTGATTAAACAAACAAGACGAGCTAAGACATTTCTGTACGATCAAACTAAGGAAACGTTAAAGCCTTGGTGGTCACATGACAGGACGTTCTTCTGCTCTCTGATTTGCTGATTCCTCCCCAGGTGGCCATTGACTTCACAGCGTCCAATGGCGATCCTCGGAACAGTTGCTCACTGCACTATATCCACCCGTTCCAGCCCAATGAGTATCTGAAGGCGCTGGTGGCTGTGGGTGAAATCTGCCAGGACTATGACAGGTGGGTGGGGCCAACATGACGATGGCCAATCAGAAGATAGGACATATATATTATAGATATATTTAAGATTTCCTTCAGTTAAGCCAAAAGCTAAGCTAAGAAGTAATTGTTAGCTTGTTCACTTTTTTTCTTTAATACCTACGGTGCCTGCTTCTGAGAACCAATCACAAACATCAGTTGTTATCACTGTTTTCTTCTTTTATGGTGTCAGTGATAAAATGTTTCCCGCCTTCGGCTTCGGTGCTCAGATCCCTCCAGAGTACAAGGTAACGTACTGTAGCTGCTGCCCTCACAGTCTCTCCCAGAATGCTCTTTGTTCGTGAGGTCGCTGTTATAGGTTACGATAATGGTGTGAGTGAGACAGGTGGCGCTGTAGACCTCTTTTTTCCGTTCACATCTTCTCATGGCTAACCTCACCAGCAGAAACAACAAAACACTCCATGATGGACTGGTGTCTGTGGCCCCGCCTCCATCCAATCATCCGTCAGCTGTGATTGGCTCCAGCTCCCCCTCTGACTGGATGCATGAATAGATAGATGGGCGGATAAGAAGATAACTAGACGGATGGATGGATGGATGGATGATGGATGGGCGACTGGATCTATACTCTGACTCTTAAAAAAAACTCAGATCCTTTTATTTATCCTCAGGTGTCACACGACTTTGCTGTGAATTTTAATGAGGAGAACCCAGAATGTGCAGGTAAGCTGATTTTTAACCCTAGGTTTAACCCTTTCTTGTCACTCGAATTTATGTTTCAGCAAAAGCTAAGCTAGTGTTCATTTTAGCCTTCAGGCTAACTTCCTACTCACTTAACTTCATCTGTTTTTTCCAGTTTTATACCACATTAGTTGACATTCCTAAACCTCCAGGTGTTGACACATCCGACCCTCTCCCACCACCGCCTCTCAACTTCCTGTTGGTCCTTTTCCAGGTATCCAAGGAGTGGTGGAAGCATACCAGGCCTGCTTGCCCAAACTTCAGCTCTACGGTCCGACCAACATTGCCCCCATCATCCAAAAGGTGGCCAAGTCAGCCTCGCAGGAGGTTCACACCAAAGAGGCAATGGTGAGAGCATTGACGACTCCTGACCGTACTGATGTGATCTGATTGGCTGCTAACGCCGAGGTCTTCTGACCTAAGCCCTGACCCTGACAGGCCCTAAACTCAACCTGTTGACTGATCTTGTTGTCATGTTCCCTCTTTCAGCAATACTTCATCCTGCTGATCCTCACGGACGGTGTCATCACCGACATGGCCGACACCAGGGAGGCCATTGTCCAGGCGTCTCACCTGCCCATGTCCATAATCATCGTTGGCATTGGGAACGCTGACTTCAGTGACATGCAGATGTTGGACGGCGACGATGGGATCCTGCGATCGCTCAGAGGCGAGCCTGTCCTCCGTGACATCGTCCAGTTTGTCCCATTCCGGAACTTCAAACATGTGAGCTTACGCGTGGGTTTTTTTGTAAATCAAACTGTGTGAGTCCTGCCTGAGGAACTCCTCAAACCTTTTTCTCTGCTGTGGTTTAATCTCCTGCCCAACAAAGGATTGCAATCAGCATAATAACACAGTTCAGGCCAGTACTGATCAACTGGGGCGGTGGCTCTGCTACATCTGTGATTTTCTCTGTGGTCTTTGGTCTGCGAGTGAAAATCACTGATTCATTCAGTGGACTCGTGAGACTCGTGAGACTCATGAGACTCGTGAGAACACTGCAGCTCAGTATTAGTTCCCATTTCTACATGGCAGTTGTTTTTGCTTACAAATGTTTCGAGGGCTGTGATCTCAGACTGGACTCCAGTCAGTGATGAAATGTCTCTTTTGTTTCGTGTCTTGATTTTGGTGAAACACTGTCATCATGTGACCAACACATTTAGCTTCACAGCAGAAACAAACTCAGGGGTGAAGAGAGACAAAGGATTGGTTCATCTGTAAAAAACCAGTCTGGCTGGAAATGATGGAGAGTGAGCAGAAATAGATGTGTCAGGAAAACAATAAGCCAAGAGGAGAGGAGCAAGGAGCCAAAATGAGGAGGAGGCGGCGAAGGAGAGGGTGTGAAGATATTGAAGAAATTAGTTTTCAGCCACAAAGCAGCAGCAGCAGCAGCAACAGGAAGAGGAGGGTGAAGAGGAGGAGGAGGAGGAAGAACCTGGCATCTCATCTTCAGCCACTTTCTCTCAGATGTATTGTCTCTTCTCCACCGTCTGAAGATGGGAGAGTTTTTAGGTTAGGACGAGAAAAAGAAAGAAAAGAAAAAAGGGGGCGATGGGAAGTAAAAGACGACAGAGAAGAAGAAGTGAAAGAAGATGAATGTGGCAAAGAGAGGAAGAAGAACGAGACCAAGGCTATGGGTCAAAGGTCAAATACAATAGCTGAAAAAAGAGGAAATCAACGGTTCTAATCTTAATCTCCCTCTTCTCCTCCCTGCACCTTCTCTTTCCCACTTCTCCCATTGTCCTTCTCTGTCCACACCCTTTCTTCCTCCACCTTCTTCTTCTCCTCCTCCTCCTCCTCCCCAGGCACCTCCAGCTGCTCTGGCTAAGAGTGTTCTTGCAGAAGTACCCCACCAGGTGGTGGACTACTACAACAGCAGAGGCATCAAACCTAAGGTTCCCAGCCAGTTCCAGTCTTCCAGACCCTTTGGTCCCTAAAGGTCTACAACCATTGACAGAAGCATTTTATTTCAGAGGCCAAAGTTAAAGGTGCAACACTTCCTTTCTCTGCAGCTTCAACACTTTGTTGCCAGCTGGTAGCTCCTAACTGTTAGCTGTTAGCTGACACCGACAAACTCCTGCAGACTATCCTATCAGTTGTTCTTCCAGAAACATAAAGTTCTGTTGCTCTGACAATAAAAGATTGAGAAGGGTTAGACGGATCGTTTAAACAACTACAGTCAGATTAATACTGTCTATTAACCCTGCTCTGAGGGTTGGACCAAACTGTGGTTGGAGACAGATCTAGGGACGTAGGGATGTAGACAACACAATATTTTTTGGTTTCATCTTTTCTCCTGTCTTAAGACTTTGTCACTGTGTAAAAAAGTGTTGCACCTTTAACGTGTTCTGCATGAGGAGGCAATAAAAGCACAAATACAAACAACAGTGACCACTGTCTCAAATGCCACGTCCTCCACTGATGCATGACAGTCCAGGAAAATTTGGCGATAATGGAATGTAATCCAACAGTTTGTTTTTTTATACAAGTTCGTGGAGATTTTGCTAAATTTCGTAGCCAGTATGTTACAAAGCATTTTGCGGCCTCCACTGGTTTGTGTAGGTTTTTTAAAACAAGGCCGTTGCATGCGCTGTTGTTTTGCATGCAAATCTCCATGGATTAGTCAATAATAATGAATATTATAGTAATAACAATGGATGTTAGTAATGTTATCAATGAGGAGTAATAACCGCGTGTACTACTGTTTTAAGACACTATTGTAGCATGTTTGTATCAAAGGAAAAAGTGCGAGTAGTCTTTACTGAAGCATGACCTCAGTGTTTCGGGAAAGGTTTCAGATTCCGATGTTGGTGAAAAGATACAGTAGCTATCTCGAAGAAATGCAACATTTCTTTAATTTGTAACTTTATTGTTTGTGCTTTGTCTATTTTGGTTAAAAGTTGTTTGCTTCTTCACAAAAACTCAACACCAGTCACATATTTACACAAACAAAAGTTAGCTTCTTCAAACAGATGCTAATAGTAGCAACTCATTTTTACTTCAGGGACGTTAGCTTTTCAAGATGGACGATAACATAGATTAGATGAATCTATTTGATATAATCTAATTTAATCTGACAAAAAAAGATGTTGCCTGCCACATGTTAGCTTTTTAAAGAGATGCCAAAACCAGTGGGGTGTTGCCTGCCACATGTTAGCTTTTTAATGCCAAAACCAGTGGGAAAAAAAAACATTGTTCTAAGAACTAAACTACTAAAACTAAACATAGCAACACAGTTGTCAACCAAATTAAACTGATAAAAACAAAAGCTACACTTTACTCTTCTGAGAATCAAAAACTAATGCTAGCAATAGCCACACATTTAAAAATCACACATTAGCATATTTAAGATGATGCTAACGGGGGTCAGTGTTTTTACACTGGCTTGCGTTTGAATTTAATTTGAAACTAAAGCTAGCTGTAGCCACATGTTTGCTTCAGGAACTGTAGCCCTATTGAACTGATACAAAAACAGAAGTTACTGTTAAAGGCTAGATTTAGAATTAGCCTTTAAAAACAGTAGCATCTGAACATCATTTGCCCTAGCAATAGCAACAAATATAAGCTACCTCCAAATCAAAGTGAACATTAGCCACACATTAGCCTTTGTCAGTGTTACGTAAGTGAAGGTAATAGTAACAAAGATCCTCTAGGATTTGAAGAGATTCATAAACTCTGAGATAAGAGCTAAATTTATTTCTTTTCTCAACTGCAGCCTCATTGGTTCAGATACTTATTAATGTGCCAGTACTGACACACGAAGAACCAACGCCAGGTTTAGTATCAATTCTCAGTTCCATCAGCGTTGGCAACAGCACAGAAGAGCAACAAAAGAACTAAAGAGTTTTTTAACCAGATGGGATTTTTTTTCATCACTCAAATAAATGAGATGGTCCTGGCGTCTCTGCTGAGGAGGATCTCTCAGGAGACGTGGAGGCATCTTCATTATAATCCTCGCACACTTAGAGGGAGATTTTATTCATTCATTTTTGAGAGTCTGTGATGTGAGCGCCTCCTGCTGCCAACACCACCTGAGAAACAAAGGAAGCAGGGCAGAGGTACTGTAGCAGCAATGTGCCCCACCCCCAATATTGACAATATTGAATCTGAAAAAGTTTTTACAGCAAGGGGCGCTTACACTGTAGCTAACACTGACATAAAGTGTCAAAAACGATGACATGAAGGCCTCGTGTCCCAGAGTTAGCACAACGTTCTCTCATAATTGTGCTGTACAAAAAACAAACGTAGCATTTTTCTTTTCCTTCTTTCCTTTGTCTGACGATTGAATAGTAAGACAGGCGATGAGTCACATGACTTGATGTTGTATTTACATGCAGTACTACGTGCAAAGACAAAAAGAAATGTGACAATAAAAGATTTTATCAGGACCTTCTGATGTCAGTGTGTTCTTGTTCATGTTGATAATGTGGGACGCTTGGATGAAGCATGAAAACCAGGGTGAATGTTGTTGTTTATTACAGTAGCAGCAGTTTTTTTTTCTTTATCTGAGTGTCGGAGCAGCTCCGAGCTCAAACCAACCACAAGCTGTAATTACAGCAGCAGCTCGTCTGTTTGGGGGGGTGGAGGATGAAACAGGTTATTAGCTCTGTCAACCACACTGAGATTTGACAACTGGAAGAGCAGTAGAATCCAAGACTCCAGTCCTTCTGTGTAACAGAATACCAAGGGTCCTGGAGCAAAAACTTCTGAGGGCAAAGACCAGCCCACCAGTCAGAACTGATCCAACCATGACCTTTGACACCAACATGAACATCACTGCGTTCATCAAATCACTGGTCTGAATTGATCTAATCACTGGTGTGAAGTCATCGTGCAGTCATTTGCTGTGGAACATCACCGGAGACAAACAGCTGCGCACAGAAAACACTGATTTACGTCCAAATAAAAGCTGCTTCAGTTGGGCTCACGCATTAACACAGAGGAATCTTTTTTTCTTCTTTTTTTTAGTGAATTACTTGTCATTGTGACACAGTACGCCTCTGCATTGTTAGAGAAATGGAAGTGGATCAACAAATCCAAAGGAATTAAGAAAGAATAGAGAAAAAAGACTGAACAGCAGGTCTACCATGAATTGTGATGAAAATGATCTTCATCATCGTCATCTGTGAATAATTTATATCCAAACTTTCATTTAGGCAGGCAACATTTCCAGATTAACGAGTCTTGGGAACAATCGGCCCGCAGGGGTCAAAGGTCGGGTCTGTACCTCAGGAGGTTGCACTTCCTGCAGCCTCTCATTCGTCTTCACTGAGCTGCTGACAGACATCATAAATAATAATGTCTCCTAACGTAACCACATTAACAACCGACTGGTTTTGAAATTCAAGGGAATCGAACAGTAGCCCTGCTGCCTCCACTGTCAGATAAAACGTGCAGCTAACATTTTACAGCAGTCCTTCCCAAACCCTAGGACCAGAACCTGGGGTTTGGGAAACTATTGGTTCTGGCAAACTACTTTTACTAATTTTTTTAAAATAAAAAGCAATTTAAAAAAAGCAATCGGCTTAGTGCAAATGACACGCTAACATTTAATGTGCATCCGTAATAGATAGCTTTCCGATGATGTCACGCTACTACCCATAGTTCCGTAGTCCGCCATCTTGTGTGACAACAAAGCGTATAGATCGATATTAAACCGATAACGGTAAATACCTGTGTTGTGTGGGGTTTTACCAACCGATCTGGCATCTGTCACCAAGGTTAATAAAATTAAAATATATCAAAATGTACTTTGCATACATGACAAACGTACACAATGCAAACGTAAATCCTCAATGTAAACTGTTATTCTAATGATGTTCACAAAAGACATACATCCGTACATGTCACTGTCATTTTTACATTAACACGCTGTATTATTTGGGTGTTAATAAATACCGCATGATATACATTGTCTGGCTAATTTTCAATGTCCACCCGCTTCCACTCTGCTTTGTTGACTTCGTATGGTTCTTTTCCATCCGTTATTTTCAACTTGTCCAAGTATCTTGCCTTTGTAATTGTGTCCAGTTAATCTCTATACAACTATTTCATCTGATCGACCGCCAGCGATTTAATATTCTTGTCTTTTGTTGTCATTATCGATTGTTTACGTCTACCTATTCTTTTACCGCACAACATGGCGCGGGCGGCGCGATGCATCATGGGTAATAACGATTATCGGAAAACCATCTATTGACGTAATTGAATCCAGTTACTGTGTATTTACCTTGCCTTTGGCGAACAATATCGGGTGGTTGTCCCACAGGTGATGAAACATGTTGGATGTTTTTGTGGCATGCTTTAAATGCTGGCAAGCGACGACACTCTGGTCATTTCTAATGTAGCCAAAATAATTCCTCGCGGCTGATTTATTCTGGGAGGATAACGCTTCTTCTGTCGTTTTTACCCCCACGTGGTCACGCCTGTCTCCTGCAACTTACAGCGACCAAAAACAGCGCACTACACGGGTGTTGTGTAACTATGTTTTCGTTCCGTCTAAGTTGCACTTAACTATAGTTCCGGCTTATTATTTTATGACGGTATTAAGGAAACATAAGGATACATAACCGCTAGCACCTAGCTCCAACCGAACCAAGGCTGATAACTAAGGTCAGAGATGAAAGTAGAAGTTAAGAAATAACTTTTCTACTTATACTCATACTTAAAAACAAAACAAACAACTTGTGATTTAAACTATTTAAGGTGGTTTCAGTGGGTTTAGGTTAAGAAATGGTTACTAGTTAGCCAGATATAAAAACAATAACCAGGACTTTAATCAAAATGTTAAACAAGTTTACGGTTTTATTGGAACAAAACAACTTGACAATAGACTGAACCAAGAAAAGCCAAAGATTTATTAGGATGAATGTATTAGCCTCACCCTACCAACCACTTCTTAGTATCAGTTCTGCTCTCCTGAGGTCCAGAACCGTCTGGAGACAGAGAAGATGAGGAGGATGGCAGAAAAACAAACAATAACTTTTTTGTTGAAACACCAGTGCAGAGCGGACTGAAGGGATCCTCTAAATTGGCGCATGAGAATCTGTAACTGAGAACTCTTTGTGTAGAAATAGCGCCCCCTCTGGGAGACTTGCTCTACTTTCCTCAGCAGCTCTTCTACCTGATCCTTGTTCTCCACCTCCCTGTTGTTGACCACCTGGTACTGGCCGCTGCACCTCTTTAGAACCTTCAGCAGGTTCTGGTCTCCTTGGACAAACTCATCAATGTCCATGCCTTCCAGCCTGTCTCCATAGGTAAACAGGATCATGGTGTGTTTACAGACACCAGGACACAGAATCTTCTCCAGCATCTGCAGACCCTTCCGCTCCTGCTCAGTGAACCTCCCCAGCTGGACACAGAGGAGGAAGACGTGAGGACCTGGAGAGCTCAGCTCCACGGCCCGCTCCAGTTCAGCCTTCACTTGACCTTCAGACAGCTGGGAACTGAAGAGACCAGGAGTGTCCACCACCGACACTCTGCGACCCAGAACCATAGCACTGTCCTCCTGACTTGTCAGTGTCAGAGGTGTCATGGTGAACCTACAGTCAAACGTCTCCTTGCCCAGGATGGTGTTTCCTGCTGAACTCTTGCCCACTCTCTCCTGACCCACCAGCACCACCCTGAGGCTGTGTTCATTCCCTGAAAACAACAGAGTCTGTTAGAGCTGAGACTGTTTCAGACAGTCTCTGACCAGCAAGGGTCAGCACACACAAACTACACACTTTTTGGTTTTGTTGGCAATAAATAATGGTCCAGACAGAGATCAATGTTTAAATGTTTTATTGATCAACATATTGAATACAAAGCTGATTAAACAAACCAATATATGTTTTTAATTATCACATATGTTCCTCCTATTGGCACTGATCCTTCTCTGCTCTCACCTACTGAAGAACACACTTCTCCTCCATAATCACACTGAACACTCCTGCTGCAGCTCCTCCTACAGCTCCTACTACACCTCCCACTGCAGCTCCTGGTGCTCCTGCTGCAGCTCCTCCTACAGCTCCCACTGCAGCTCCTGGTACAGCTCCAACTCCACCAAAAATTGCACCTACCCCAGCTCCAAGACCAGCTCCACTTGTGGCCCCAACAAAGAGACCAACTCCACCCCTCCTTAAAACCCGGATGAAGGGATTGTCTCGTTCAGCTCTGGACCTGGCTTCACTGGAGCTCATGTTTGGATTTTGCTCCATCAGACGCTTCTTCTCTTCTTCTATGGCTCTCTCTGCCTCTTCAAACATGGTATGGGTGTAGAAGGTTCCTCCGTTGTTCTGGACCATTGTGTTTATTTTCCTGACCAGCTCACTGACCTGAATCATGTCTTGACTAGTGTTGTCAAACAAGTGGTATCCTCCCTTACACTGGCGGACAAACTTCTTCACTGGTTCGCTTCCATTTATTAAATCCTGTATTGAGACTCCAGATCCTCTCACTACGTCCCCATGGGTGAACAGCACCATCATGTAGTTGTTGGCGTCTTCTCCAAACATCTTCTGAAGGATCTTCACTGTTTGTTGTTCTTCTTCTGTGAATCTGTTAGCCTGGATCACAACCAGGAACACATGAGGACCAGGGGCAGAGAACGAGATGCATCGTCCGATCTCCTTCACCACATCTTCTTTCTTTTTCTTGGTGTCATAAAGACCTGGAGTGTCGACAACAGTCAGCTTAAAGCCACCAAACTCTCCTGTTTTCTTCTCACAGTTTTGTGTCACTGATGAGAAAGAGATCTTGGAATCAAACACCTTTTCTCCCAGGATGATGTTTCCCGACTCGCTCTTCCCAACTCCAGTTTTTCCAACAAGAACAATCCTCAGTTCTGGTTCTTCTGGCACTGTTGGAGAAAATACACAACTATTGTCTGTTAAAGAAATAAAACCAAATTCTCACTCTACAGCTGTCTCTTCATTATCAGCAAACACCTGAGATTTCTCAGAACGCATCTTTCAACACAAACACAACACACGTTCAAAGAAGATGCCAAGATGAAAATAAGAACTGGACAACAAGGACACTGTCGTTTGTGAAAGTTCTCATCATTCTGGTCACTTCAGCTTCAGGAGTTTAGAAGTGACCTCTGGATTGGTGGGATTCTCCAGGTGTTCAATCCCAGTTCGTTGAATATCTGACTCAGGAGTTTCTGACCAAATTTAAAGTCGCTCACTTTGATTGAATTCAGCTGCAACTTGGTGATTAAAGGTTCAAGGTACTAATGATGGGAGTGGAACTCAGGACCACATGTCAGGGGGCTGACAGTTGTTCTCAGTGCCTAACCCAGTGGTCCCCAACCTTTTTTGGGCCACGGACCAGTTAAAACATTGTTCAGAATCAGATAATAAATAAAACACAAATTATGTAAGTTATGCATTCTTTCTGTGACCAGTATCGGTCTGCGGCCAGTGCTTTAACCAATAGTTTCTAAGATCCAAAGTGTTCAAATACTTCAAAAACAATTCTTTGTTCATCAGGTGAAAAACAAAACAGAAATAGTTCTAGACTGGACCAAGTATCTAAAAGCCTTAAAGAATCCAATCGATCCAGAATAAAGTCAGACCAAGATCAGAAAAGGAGAGGATCAAGTCTTACAGGGATTTTACAGATGTAAAACCAGGACAAGATCCAGACTGAAGTATCTGAGACCAAGACTTTAGTTGTTGAAGAGTGGTTCCTCCCAGATGAACTCAACAAATCACTTTGTTTGTTCTAATAACAATATACACACAGAGAGGGATATATTAAAGTAGTTTTCAGTTGTTGAACTAATTTTAACGTCAAAACATAGAATTTCTTTGTTTAAACTTTATTTCAATAAATGTTTAATGTCAGGATTTAGAATGTGATGAACCTGAATCCTGTCATCCACCTAACAACAGCAACACTCTACTGCCCCCTACTCTTCAATCACCATCACTACTATAAACGACATCTGGACATTTTCACAGAGTGACGTCACGTGTTGCAGAATACTTTCGTTTTCAGCGTAGAAGAAAACTCCGTGAAGAAAAGACATATTTTAGACGTGAGCTGACAAACGCAGTGATGAAAGTACACAGCAGTAAAAAGTACTACATGTACACACCTTCGACATGTACACACCTTCGACATGTACACACCTTCGACATGTACACACCTTCGACATGTACACACCTTCGACATGTACACACCTTCGACATGTACACACCTTCGACATGTACACACCTTCGACATGTACACACCTTCGACATGTACACACCTTCGACATGTACACACCTTCGACATGTACACACCTTCGACAGAGTCTTAGAGACAGATTTGAGGTTCAAATGCTGGAGGTAACATTTAAATTGACAAACCAACTTTGTTGAAGTGCTGAAGTAAATGTAAAGTAAATGTGAATAAAGTAGTAAAATCTCACCTAGAGTTTGGTACTTGGACGCAGACATGTTTGTTCCTCTTTCTCTTCACTCTCTGTCTCTGCTTGACGAGCTTCTGCTCAGTACTTTCACTTTCCTCTGTTTTTAAACAGGCCTCCCAGTGGCAGGTATGTGGAAGTACAACAGCTGACGGACAGTTCATAAACCCACTCTTCTATATTGACTGTGTCAAATGTTATTTGATGTATTTTACATCTGTTTTTACATCTAAACAATCATCAGAATGTGGACATTTTTTAAATGTGGTTTGTTTCAGATGTAGTGACACATGAAAACCTGCAGTCTGATAAAACACTAACATCTCTCAGCTACAGCTCAGACAAACAGGGATGTTGAACCACTGCATCCATATCAGTGTTATTTGGTGATTTCTTTTTTTGTAATCCTTTATTCATAATTCCCACAGTGACACACACTGACCACTGACCTGCTCTCTCATTGGCTGAAAGTAGCGGCGTTAATGGGCAAGGTTGTCTGATTTGGTCGATGGTAGAGGAGCTCCCTGCTTCATTTAGGGTCATCTTGTTTCCATGGCAACAGTCTCTCTCACTTTTTTTCACACACAGACATAGGTACACACACACACACACACTATGGTTCTGTGTAAAATTAACGTCTCTCAAATAAAAAACCTCTAATAAACCTCTGGTCTGTTTTTCTCTGTTCATTTGGAATTAGGATAATCTAATCTGCTAATCTCTCAGACTGTGGGGTTTCCTGTTTAAAAATGTCCACATTCTGATGAATGTTTAGATGTAAAAACAGATGTAAAATACATCAAATAACATTTGACACAGTCAATATAGAAGAGTGGGTTTATGAACTGTCCGTCAGCTGTTGTACTTCCACATACCTGCCACTGGGAGGCCTGTTTAAAAACAGAGGAAAGTGAAAGTACTGAGCAGAAGCTCGTCAACAAGAGACAGAGAGTGAAGAGAAAGAGGAACAAACATGTCTGCGTCCAAGTACCAAACTCTAGGTGAGATTTTACTACTTTATTCACATTTACTTTACATTTACTTCAGCACTTCAACAAAGTTGGTTTGTCAATTTAAATGTTACCTCCAGCATTTGAACCTCAAATCTGTCTCTAAGACTCTGTCGAAGGTGTGTACATGTCGAAGGTGTGTACATGTCGAAGGTGTGTACATGTCGAAGGTGTGTACATGTCGAAGGTGTGTACATGTCGAAGGTGTGTACATGTCGAAGGTGTGTACATGTCGAAGGTGTGTACATGTCGAAGGTGTGTACATGTCGAAGGTGTGTACATGTAGTACTTTTTACTGCTGTGTACTTTCATCACTGCGTTTGTCAGCTCACGTCTAAAATATGTCTTTTCTTCACGGAGTTTTCTTCTACGCTGAAAGCGATAGTATTCTGCAACTCGTGACGTCACTCTGTGAAAATGTCCAGATGTCGTTTATAGTAGTGATGGTGATTGAAGAGTAGGGGGCAGTAGAGTGTTGCTGTTGTTAGGTGGATGACAGGATTCAGGTTCATCACATTCTAAATCCTGACATTAAACATTTATTGAAATAAAGTTTAAACAAAGAAATTCTATGTTTTGACGTTAAAATTAGTTCAACAACTGAAAACTACTTTTTAATATATCCCTCTCTGTGTATATATATTACTGTGTATATATATCTATATATTAGTTTTTGCTCTCAGATCCTTCAGTCTTGATCTCTGCCCTGTATTTGATCGCGACTCAAATTCGTCAAAAATGTCTAGAGTCATACTGAAAACTGCCTCTTTGTTATATGAAACTGAAAGGAGAAAAGGAGGAGAAGTGTGTTCTTCAGTAGGTGAGAGCAGAGAAGGATCAGTGCCAATAGGAGAAACATATCCACTAAATAAAAAAAAATATTGGTTTGTTTAATCAGCTTTGTATTCAATATGTTGATCAATAAAACATTTAAACATTGATCTCTGTCTGGACCATTATTTATTGCCAACAAAACCAAAAAGTGTGTAGTTTGTGTGTGCTGACCCCTGCTGGTCAGAGACTGTCTGAAACAGTCTCAGCTCTAACAGACTCTGTTGTTTTCAGGGAATGAACACAGCCTCAGGGTGGTGCTGGTGGGTCAGGAGAGAGTGGGCAAGAGTGCAGCAGGAAACACCATCCTGGGCAAGGAGACGTTTGACTGTAGGTTCACCATGACAACTCTGACACTGACAAGTCAGGAGGACAGTGCTATGGTTCTGGGTCGCAGAGTGTCGGTGGTGGACACTCCTGGTCTCTTCAGTTCCCAGCTGTCTGAAGGTCAAGTGAAGGCTGAACTGGAGCGGGCCGTGGAGCTGAGCTCTCCAGGTCCTCACGTCTTCCTCCTCTGTGTCCAGCTGGGGAGGTTCACTGAGCAGGAGCGGGAGGGTCTGCAGATGCTGGAGAAGATTCTGTGTCCTGGTGTCTGTAAACACACCATGATCCTGTTTACCTATGGAGACAGGCTGGAAGGCATGGACATTGATGAGTTTGTCCAAGGAGACCAGAACCTGCTGAAGGTTCTAAAGAGGTGCAGCGGCCAGTACCAGGTGTTCAACAACAGGGAGGTGGAGAACAAGGATCAGGTAGAAGAGCTGCTGAAGAAAGTAGAGCAAGTCTCCCAGGGGGGGCGCTATTTCTACACAAAGAGTTCACGCCCGTTCAATAACAAAACCTCCAGAGTCTTCATCATCCTAATCTTGATCTTCATTGTTGTTCTCTTCATTGTCCTTATTGTTTATCTCATTTTGGAGAGAAAGTGATTCTGTTTGTGACATTTCCTCCCTGCTGTTCTGACTGTGCCTAACCCTGCAGTGGTGCCCCCCTGTGTCCAGTCCTAATCAGACATAAAAGTGTTATTCATCTTTTGACAGTCGGGATGTCCAATAATATCAGCTGATTAATATTATTGGCCTAATATTAGCATAATTATGTAATATCTGTAAGAATCTTTCACAGTTTTTCCTCTGATAATGAAAACCAATAATGCAATGGCTGGACTGAAAAACAGCTGTATGTGAAAGTGAAAGTCACTAGATGATCGGAAATTAAGTGTTTGGACAACATCGGTATATCGGATATTGGCAAAAAGTTAATATCGGACATTCCTGTTCGACCGTGTTTCTGTTTGTTCTGTTCTTCAACCTAAAGGCAAATAAAACTATCTGATAAATCTACTTGGTTTCTTTTCTGTAACTGATTTGTCCTGTGGACTATAGTCTGAGCTACTATTATATGAAGTAAATATAATACAGTTTTAACATAAACCCAACAACTGACAGTCATTTGGTCGTCAGCCACTGTGACAGCAGCTGACACTACAGTCGTCTCCATGGAAACCAGCAGTATGTGTGTGTGTAATGTGTAAAAACATGAACACATATTGAACATGAGTGAACTTGTGAATAAGAACAGACTTGTGATGAACATTTTTTCCAGATTTTTCCAGATGTTATTTATTCATGCAGCATGTGTCTGTGTCATGAATAATATCTGAATACCATACATATGTATGTACGTTACTGTAAACAAATGAAAGTATATAGATCAGTGAAGCACAAATTTAATTTTGACCTTCAGACGCCCCCTTGAGGTGAGGTAGAGTACTGCCTGCCTCTCCTGCTGACTTTCTCTGCACTTTCTTGTACAGCAGGAACAGTTCTCTCCCACAAACAGCTAAAAGGAGCTGTAAGCTGTAGGAGCTAAAAGGTTAGCTTCAAACTACGGGAAGGAAGAGTCGTTCTTTTTAAATGTACTGGTACAAACGAAAAGACTGGCTGTGTGGCTGTCCTGAAAGAATCCGCCATTACTGCTCTCCTCGTCTTTTACTCTCATCGTGTGATAACGTCTGAACTAACTCGGGATACTGTGACCTGAAACATTAACAAAGAAGCCTCAGCGGACAGGAAAGATCAGCCACGCACATTCAAAGCCAGATTTCTTTAAAGAAAATTCTGGAAATTCAACGATCGACTTGGCATTGGATGAACAACGGAGACTAAACATTAGCATCCACAATGCTAAGTGGGGGAAACCCGAGAGATACAACCATGAAATTCATCTATAAGTAAAGGTACGGATAAAATGTTTTTATGGATATGAAGCCTTACCAGGTGACGCTGTTGGATGAACAGTGAAATAAGGTTTGGTTCTTAAAATTGTAAGTCTGACTCCAGAGAAGTCAGTGCCTCGGCAGCCATGAACCTCACTGCACGTCACTGTTCTGGTCTGTTATTGGACAGCAGTTTGGGAGGCGTGGCTACTGTAGGGTTTGTCAGTCGATCAACAGTGAATAAGGTGCAGCCATTGTTGTTCCCACAGAGAAAAATGACAGACCACAACATCAGAAATCCCCCCTTTCCTCTCCCCTTCTTTTCTTTTCTCGGTCTGGTGTTTTTTTGTCAATGAGTCAACACTGCCATCTTTTGGTACTTTTCTGAAATGCATGTGAACTGTCCAAAAGAAAGGTTTTTAAATGATGTCATAAATAAACAAAAACTCTCACAATGAAGAAAATCTTTTCTTCAGATTTACCTCACTGACACAAACTGACCACAAGAGGCAGCAGTGGACCAGTAGCTGCTGTGTCTCTGAGCTTTAGTCACCAACTCTTCTATGGACTTATAGTTTCTGTGGCTGATTTTTTTTTTGCTGTAAAATTGACACTGAGACAGTCTCTGTTTTCGCAGCAGGGGGCGCTCTGGTAAACATTTAGAACTGTTGAGTTTTTTTCTTCTTTTTGTCTTTTTGTCTTTTACGTTTTCAGTCGTAGCTTCTTCTTCTTTTTTCTTTTTCTGACAGGAAATAACACATTTTTAGATCCTCTTTCACCCTGATTATAAGCATGATGTGACCCAACTTACTGTTTCTTTGGTAGGGTGGAGGATGTGGAGACGTACATGGTGGACCCTTGGTCTTCTGTCTGTGGTGTTTACAGGTACGACTTTAACTCAGGTTGTCTAAGACGTGACGTGACTCGAGGCTAAAAACTGAGATTAGGCTCAAATTAAATCAGAGGGGAAAAAAGTATTTAATGGACAAAGAAATGTAAATTCTTATCTGGCTTTTTGGCTCACTTTCAGCTGCTGTAATTCTAGCCAAACACTCAGCTTCAGTCACCTTTATATATTGTAGATGAAATTCATGCATCATATATTGGCTAATTGTTAACTATTTTTACCATCGACTTGTCTTTTATGAACTTTAAGTTTTTCTAACCTTCACTGTTTTTTGACTTTTCCTTCATTAAGTGCATGCTAACCTCGGGGTTAACCACAACCACAGTTTAAGCTAACACTTTCATCCATAATGAAGGCACGTTGTGCTGGTGGTTCTTCTGTGCAGTATGTTCCGTCACAGACGACTGGAAGATAAAGGTTCTAAAGGAGGTCACTGTCTCCAGAGGGGAGGACGCCGTCCTCGGCTGCTCCCTCATTAATCTTGGACAACAGCTCTTCTCCGAGGACATCCTTGTGCAGTGGCTCGCCAGAGATCCAGAAACGTCTCCTTTTATCAGCTGTTCCATTAGTCAGCAGTCGACTCATCAGGATCTCAGAGACTGTTTGACTCCTGCGGGGAAATATTCGCTGACTGAAGACCTGCAGCGAGGAAACCTCTCTCTCCGTATCAGGAGTGCACAGTTTCAGGACCC